CATTGGTGAATGCCACAAATTCTCCTAAAACACTCGTACGCACAACTTAAGAACAAATCTGTTGGTAAGAATGGTTCTTTCGTGAGGCCCAATGTTCTTATTTTGCATTTATTTGAATGACACATCTTTAAACATTGTTTACTTTATTTTGAAGGGTCAGGAAGACGTTGTGTCTCTATTAATTAGTAGTACAGTTAGTTGCATYTGTTCTAAGACTCAGTGAGATAACGGAACTCTGGATGGACCAAAATGGAGCATTAAGAACAGATCTGAACACAAYGAGAAAAACTGGATTTACAGCAGGAAGTTCTCATCCTCACTGTTGGCAACACATTTCAGACAGAAAGACCCATCTTTAATTAGCGGTGAGATATGCTAGAGAGGTGCTAACAAGGTGTGACCTCCACCTTCAGAGACTGACAACCGTTCTAACATCACGTAAAACCACAGGACCATCTACAGCCTGTCTCTGTTTGTGGCTAACGGAGCTGATTCTCCTCACAGACGTAACCTGCTGAATATTCATCCATCCAACCTGATCTTATATTCGGAACACCACTGCTTTCAGAGGGTTAACAGTGTGATTAACTTTGCAAACATAAAGTTCTCTTTAAAAGGCAGAAGAAGAGATGTTTGGACCGATCCTCAGAGAGCCAGCAGCTGATGGAGCCTCATGAATAAATTCATCCTGTATGACAAGCTAAAGGTTGTTCAGAATCATAGCAGCAGATCAAAGACACGGCTTTTGGTTGCACACAGGAGGTTACTGCTGCAGTCCTGACACCAGTCAGGAAACACACACCATCCCTGATACACATCCACACACACACACACATCCACACACAAATATACTCAGTGTACTTTACTTTAGGTTTAGAACTTTAAAGCTGCTCAAATTTTATCTGCAGTGGGAGCTTCTGACTCAAAAACTGCTGAATAAGTTGAATTTCTTAGGACCTTTCTGATCTGCCCACAGTGTGTGTGTGTGTGTGTGTGTGTGCCCTTGTTTTTGCTACTTGGTGGGAACGATTTTTCAAGAAAATGAAGCCTCGTGGGGACCAGATGCTCCTTGTGGGGACCAAAGCCTGGTCCCCATGACTTCGGAGGCGGATTTTAGGTTGGGGGTTGGGTTTAGGACCAAGGTGTGAATTGAGTTTAMGTTAGTTTTAGGGTTTGTGGTCAGGGTTAGGATATATAATTACCAAAAAATGAATGMAAGTCAATGGACGGACCCCAAAAGGATGTAAAAACAAGTTGTTGTTGTTTTTGTTGTTTTTGTGTGTGGAGTGAAATGTTTCTGTTTTCAGACAATAAAGTAAAGAAGTCTAAGGTCCAGGCTGTCAGGTGACGGGAGAACCAGAACCAGAACCAGAACCAGAACACACTCTGCAGGGTTCAGACTCAAGAGCCAACATAAGAACAGTATGAAGCATCATTAATCATGGACACAAATATTACTAATGTTGAAACTTTGTGTTCTTTCACAAAACTCCTCAGCCCAGATTTAGTCCTCTTTTTCGACTCAGCTCGCCCTGTTCGTCTACTTCACTTCATCAACTTCAAAACTGGTCTAGGGGTCTGGAAGTTTGAGGGTTCTTTCTGTTCAGGATCTTTTCCATTCCGAGGACCAGTCTCTTCTGGACAGAGATCTCTGAGGTTGTTCCTGTTGGAGCCACTCTTACTGTTTTTGGGGGTGACAGTACTGAGTGTTCCAATGACCACTAGAACTGCCAACACTTTCTGGGACCTCCAGTCCATACTCTACAGATTGCTCTGTATATTATTATAAACACTTTGGTCATGGTGATCCATGTCTTCTTTACCTGCCTGGATCTTACAACCTGCTATTATGTGTTGGACTCAGGGACATCAGCCTGCATCTTGGGACTTGTCTGGTTTGGTAGACCCTGGTCTCTACTACTCTTGTGCTGCCATGATTAGTGCCCATTTGATACTTCTGTCTTTCAGTCCTTCAGTCCTGTAACTTTAATAAGGTCATGTAGTATACTCCTATTTAAATAAAAATGTAAGCAGAAAGCTTAAGGATGTTGGATGTTGGTTTTTTATCTCTATTTCAAAGAAGAGGATGAGGAGGAGAACGAGGAAGTTCTCCTCAAGCAGCTCCTAAAACTGTCAACCTGCTTACTGAGAACATTTGTATATATTACACTTTGTATACAGAACAATATAGCCTACTTATTAAATTACAATTTATTGAGATATTTTTTTGAACAACCAAAATGTTTTGAGGACAACCAGATTTTGTCAAACCCCCACATGAGAGGTCACCACCACGGCTAAAAAAAATCTTTGGGGAAACTCTGCTGAGTTACAGTTCTTCTAGAGTTCTAATTATTATTAGAAAGGACATGATTTGAGGTTTTTACTGATAATATTTTATTTAAAACATTTTGAACAAACATTAAAAATGTGTTCATTCCTACAAAACTACAAATATACAAACAACACTAAACTGATTCAGATTAACATCAAATAAATCATGTTTTATAATTAAATGTCTGTTTCCTGCTATAAAAAAAATCCTCCTCCTGTCCTCCTTGTTCCTAATCAGGGTCAGGGTGGGGCTGGA